GGTGCACGCGCGCGTGGGTGAGTGGGTGTGTGCGTGCATGAATACGTGCGTGTGTGGGTGCACGGGCGTGTGAATGTGTGTGTGGGTGCGTACTGTGCGCGCATGCGTGCATGGGTGCGCGCGTGTTGTGTGGGTGTTGCGCGGATGTGCGGGGGCGTGTGTGCACACGCGTGGGTGTGGGCTGCGCGCGTGTGTAGGTGCGTGCGGTGTGCACGCATTGAGAGCGTGGGTGCGTGCGCACGTGGGCATGTGCGTCAGTGCGTGATGTGTGCGCGCAGGCGTGTCGGGTGGGTGCGTGCGTGCGCACCGCCGCGGCCACAGCGGATGCGGCAGAACGTTGTCGGCTGAATCGAAATCAGGGGCCGGGATGTCGTTTTGTCTACTTTTCTGACTTTTTTTTCCCCAAAATATAAAGTTAAAAATAAAGTAAATGAATATTTGTCGTACTTTGCATATTACCCAAAAGTCCTGGAAGTAGTTGGAGGCATGTTACGTCTTCACGGAACCATCTCCCTCAAGTCACGCCACCCCCCCCCCCCCCCCCCCCCCACCCCTTACAGCTGGGGCCGCAGGCGTGGGAGGCGTCGCGCGGAGGGTCACTAGCTGCGGTCACCTCCCTGCGGCCCTCCGCCTCCTGGGCTCCGCTGCTGGCCTCCCGGTGAGCGTGGGTGGCCTGGACGGGACAGAGCGTGAGCCACGGAGGGTCCCAGAGCTCAGAGGTCGGACCCCCCAGCCCCGCCGCCAGGGTGGAACCTCGCTGTGGGGGCGCAGCGCAGGCCTCCGCTCCCCGGGCTGACTGGGGGACAGCCCCGTCAGTCTGCAGGGTCTGGGGGCACGGTTCCCACGGGTGAACACGGCACCGGGACCGCAGTGCAGGGGTGCAGCCAGCCCCCTTCCCTGTCCAGGGGGCAGGAAATCTGCGGGGTGCTGGGCTCCCAGTTACAAGTGAGCAGGAGCAGGCTGGGACCCTCTCTTAGGGTGGCCCTGTGGCACGTGAGCGGGAAGTCCCAGAAGGAAGGGGCAGCGGCCCCAGAGGCAGCCGGGAGGCAGGCTCACGGTCGGACCGCAGAGGCTGCACTGCTGGGGCCCCTCCTCCCTCTGGCTCCCCCTGTGCTGTGGCTGCCGCTTCCGCTTCCGGAGTCGGAAGCTGGACCAGGGGTCTGTGAGACACACCCTCCCAGACCTTGGGAAGCTCAACCCTGGGAAATTCAGGGCCCCTGAGGCTGACCCAGGAACGGGCACTTCTGCCTTTCCCGGGGATGCTTTTAGATCACAAAGCCCAGGTGAGAGCCTGCGGGTGCTTCAGAGTAAGAAGCAAACAAACAGCCCCGCAAACACGTCACTGGGGCGCCCGTCCCCGGGACAGCCAGCCCACTCTGCATAGCCGGTGTCCCCAGTGAGCACCTGCCCCTGCCCCTGCCCCTGCCCCTGCCCCCTCCTTGTTTACAGCTCAGCCCCAGCCCAGGGTTCCCCAGGGCTGCGGCACCCCTCCCTGGGCCCAGGGCCCGGCCGCGGACTCATGGGGGTTCCGTCCCTGTCGTCCACAGGGACCGGAGGCGGGTGAAGCGAAGATGGTGAGGACACAGAGCCAGCACCACAGGGCTGGGGGAGAGGGAGAGGGGCAGCCTCGGCCTGTGGAAGGAGACCCCTGCGGTCCAGGCAAGGCCCTCCAAGGCCTCTGGGGGTGGCAGGGTGGCCTGAGGTCAGGGAGTCCTTCTGTGGGTCGCCTGCTCCCGGCCCAGCTCCCTCCTCTGTCCAGGCAGGAGTGCGGTGCCCGCGTGGTGGCCCTGTGAAGGGCTGTCCCCCGCTGCCCCTCCCGCTCTCAGAGAGGGGGCTCCATCCAGAGGAGTGGCCGGTTCCCCTCAGACCCCTCACACCCAGGTCAGGTGTGCTCTTCGAGGACGCACACAGACGCTTGGATGCGCGGGTCCGGGCGGCAGACATCCTTCGCCGGCCCCACGAGCCAAGAGCAGAGCGCTGTGGGGGCCCGGACCGCCCTGCAACCCTGCCCAGCCCTGCCCCCGCTGCGGACGTGGAGGCTGAATCCACAGGGGAGGCAGGTGGCACTCCAGGAGGACGGCGTGTGTGACCACGGCCCCCCGGGACTCCTCCCCCTCCCTGCGAATGCGCTCCTCGGTCCGGGGCCCCATCCCGTTGTTCGCAGGCGGACCCCCTTCCAGCCCGGGGCTCACCTCCGCCATGGCTCTGGCACAGGTAGGGGAAGCGCCACACGTTGCCCAGGCCCACGCAGAAGCCCACGCAGGTGAGCATGTACTGGGCCTTGTTGTCCCACTGGGGCCGGGAGCCGGCCTCCTTGGCCTCGATGCTCTCCAGCTGGTCCAGGGACGGGATCCGGTCCTCCAGGCCCGGGTTGGGCAACACGAGCCTCACCATGGTGGTCGCAGGGCCGGTCCCTGGTGGCCCAGGCGGGTCGGGAGCCAGAGGGCGAGTGGCCGCAGGCCCAGAGCCCCAGCACTTTATAGGGAACCTTTGGCACCTCGCCCCGAGCACCTGGCGTCAGCAGATCTGAAGGTGAGTCCGCCCCAACTGTTAATGCCTTATCTGTGGAGGCGCCGCAGACCCTCGGGACTGCCCCACAGGCGCTGGCCGGCCCCTCCCACTGAGCAAACGCAGCCGCCAAGGCTCCCGCCCCCAGGGTGCTCCCGAGGCTGGGTTCCCCCCCCACCTGCAGGACACCGCTGCTCTCCAGACCCTGGGATGCTCGGCTCACCGTCACACTCCCCAGCGGCAGAAGGAGGTGGGGCGGCCCTCCCTCTCCCCGGCTCTCTCTGCCAGCAGGCTATGTGCGGGGGCATCCCTGCCCCGCCCCACCCCGTCCAGGGCCGTGAGGTGGACCTGGGCCCTGGGAGCAGCCCACTGCCCTGCTCACTCGGAGTTTGGAGCTGCCTGGACCCCTCCGGGCCCCGAGCACCAGGCTCTAACCAGACTCCCAGGGAGCTTTGGGTCCCCGCTGGCATCTGGATACCGAAGCCCCTTCAGATGCGGGGTGCCTGTAGGTGGACCCCTGGGACCCACAGCAGCCCCCAGGGCGCTCGGCTCCCCGGGTCATCACCCGGCTGTCCCCCAGCCTCTCCGGGCAGCTGTGGGATTTCTGTCCTCCTACCCAGGGCCGGGCATGGGGCGGCCCCGAGAGGGGTGGGGGGACAGCAGTGGGAAACGGGGCTCCACTGCGGTCCAGCAGGGAGGCTTGGGGGGCCCACAGCACACGCAGAGAGCCTCGTAGCCTCCACCTGGTGCCCTCTGGCCCCGGGTGCCCTCCAGCCCAGCCTGGCCTCTAGCCTGGGAGAGCAAGAGAAGAACCCCACCCGAGGGTTAGGACGGCCAAGCCGATCCTGAAGGCAGAGCAGAGTCTGGGACAAAGTTAGTGTGGGCGGGGGCGTGCCCACCAGTGATCTGCACCTGGCAACCCTTCCGGCCCGCTGCCACTTTTCCTGGGGTCACTGACCAGGCCACACCCAGCCCCCTCGGGGCCGTTCCCTCGGGAGCCCCCTTCACTGGCCTGCGGGGCCGGCTGGGTGCAAAGCCCTCTCTGATGGCCCTGTTGACCGGCCTCCACTCCCACCCGGTCCTTCCCAGAGGGATGGGCGCTGTCGCTGGGAGTCCTTTGCTTATCTGTCTCCCCAGTGACCCGCTCCACTGGACAATAACGTCCCTTCCGGCCCCGGGGCTGCCTGACCCCGACCCCACCCCACTTGACTGGTTCATGCTGACATTCGAGGAACAATCCAGGGAAGGCGGGTGAGGGTCACTCGGGAGGGGTGAGTCAGGAGTCCGACCTTTGCCCTTAGGACAGGGGACCTGGGGAAGGGTGGAGGCCTGAAGGGAGGAATCAGGTTAGAATTTAGGCGCATCTGGTTCCTGAGACGAGAGCAGGACAGGCAAGCAGATGCCACCACAGAGACAGAGACAGAGGGAGAGACAGAGGGACAGAAGGGGAGACAGAGGGAGAGAGATAGAGCAAGTGACAGAGACAGAGGGACAGACAGAGGGACAGAAGGGGAGACAGAGGGAGAGACGGAGACAGAGGGAGAGATGGACAGAAGGGGAGACAGAGACAGAGGGAGAGATGGAGACAGGGACAGAGGGACAGAGACAGAGGGAGAGACAGAGACAGAGGGAGAGACAGAGGGACAGAAGGGGAGACAGACAGAGGGAGAGACAGAGACAGAGGGAGAGACAGAGACAGAGGGAGAGACAGAGGGACAGAAGGGGTACAGAGGGAGAGACGGAGACAGGAACAGAGGGACAGAGATAGAGGAAGTGACAGAGACAGAGGGAGAGACAGAGGGACAGAAGGGGAGACAGAGACAGAGAGAAAGACAGAGACAGAGGGACAGAGACAGAGGAGAAACAGAGGGAGAGACACAGGAACAGAGACAGGGAGAGACACAGGAACAGAGACAGAGACAGAGGGAGAGACAGAGACAGAGGGAGAGACAGAGACAGAGGGAGAGATGGACAGAAGGGGAGACAGAGACAGAGGGAGAGATGGAGACAGGGACAGAGGGACAGAGACAGAGGGAGAGGCACAGGAACAGAGTCAGAGACAGAGGGAGAGACACAGAAACAGAGACAGAGGGAGAGACAGAGACAGAGGGAGAGACAGAGGGAGAGACAGAGGGAGAGACAGAGGGAGAGACACAGAGACAGAGGGAGAGACACAGGAACAGAGACAAAGACAGAGGGAGAGACAGAGAGACAGAGGAAGAGACAGAGACAGAGGGAGAGACAGAGACAGAGGGAGAGACACAGGAGCAGAGACAAAGACAGAGGGAGAGACAGAGACAGAGGGAGAGACACAGGAACAGAGACAGAGACAGAGGGAGAGACAGAGACAGAGAACAGAGAAACAGGGAGGAAAGAGGTGCCCCAGGCTGGCCCAGGTCCAAGGGGTGGGGACGGGGATGGCGGATGGTCTGGACACAGGGCGGAGGTGCTACCTGGACCCCGAGGGCCAGCGAGGGAGAGGAGTCTGGGCTGAGGTGGGGAGCAGCCCAGGGCTCTGTCCTGGGTGTGTCCGGAGTGGGGCCCCCTCCCCACAGGAGCCCTGGGGTGGGGGAGGGTCCCCGCCCCACCACAGGCCCCCCTGAGGGGTGTACCTAGGGCTTCCTCCGGGCAGCTCTCTCTGGAAGCTTCCACAGGAACCCAGACCCCGGACCGCCTTCCCTGTGGCGGCCAAGGCCCCCACCCCTGCAACCGAGCCTCAGCCCCAGATCAGGTCTCGGGGCTCTGAGCCCCAGCTTCCCCGTCTGTAAAACGTGATCGCGGTAGCCAACTCCACGGCTATCTGCCGGGAAAATATCTGGAAAGTGTACGTGGGCGAGAGAAGGCCAGGTGCCTGAGAGCTAGGCCTGAGCAACCAGGGTCCCCGCAACAGGGACAGGGGCTGCAGCCAGGCCCCAGAGCTTGCTTGGGCCCCGCAGCAAAGCAGTACTTTCTGCCCTGCCCTGGGGTGCAGCGGAGTGCCCCCGAGGCCGGGTGCCCGGGTGCCACCCACGGGCTCTCCGGGCTCTGCCCTCCTAGGTGGGGGGCCGGAATTGGGGTGTGGAATGCGGGGCACAGACATAGACCCAGCATGAGGCGGGGGGCTTCTGCCACAGCCCCCATGAGGCTGCGGGCCCTCGTGCTCCCCTGCCTCCCCCCGCTTCCCCTGCCCCCTCCTGCCCCCTCTTTCCCCCTCCTGCCCCCCTAGAATCAGCTCCTGCACTCTAAGGCCAAGGGTCTCAGTGCCAGGAGTCCCACCCGACCCGCCTTGACCCCGACCCTGTCCCCCCACTGCAGCCCACCGGGCCCACATCCGCCCCAGGGCCTTGGCACTCTGGATGCTCCCCCTGCCCGGCTCCCTGCAGCGTCCACCAGGCCACGGGCCCCCATGGTCAAGTGGTGACGTGAGCACACAGGGCTGCCCACTGCCCGCCCCTCTGCTCCCCTCTCTACTTTCCTTCCCTGGTTGGTGGCATCATTTCCTTCCGAGGTGCGGTTCATCCTGCTATTTCTCTAACTGCTTTTCTTCTCTCTTCCCCCGAAGGCCCGAGGCTGCCTGGGCTCTCACGGTTGGCCAGATGAAGGGGTCCCGCGGCTGTCCCCAGATGGGTGCATCCAGGGAGGTGGCTGGACAGGCACCTGGGCCTCCGTCCCCAGCTTCACTTGCCCAGGGGCCACGGGAGCCCCGCAGCCACGCTCAGTGGTCTTCGTGGCAGGAAGTGCCAGGCAGTTCCGGCGAACAGGTGAACCGACTAGATGAGCCTTTGCTTTTACTACGGTCGTGGTTGGAAACAGACTGAGGCGCTAAAAGCATCCCCACCTCCCGACCCCTGTCCGGATGCCGGGTCCCGGGGCCTGAAAAGTGATGGCCCCAGCCTCGGCTGCACAGGGTGGTCACCTCCCTCAAAGCCCAACAAAAATGAGGGCGCGTTGTGAGCAAACGGAGGTTTGTCGTGGGACCGGCGAGGACCCCGAAGTGGAGCCCCTCCCGCCCCCCCTCCACACCTCAGACCGCAGCCCCTCCCCCACGTTTGCCCAAAAATTTCTTTTACAAAAGAAGGTAAAGGCCCCTGAGCGTTTTCAGCCCCCCACGGCGGATGAGCTAAGCGTCCCCTCCCCTTGTTCCGTGGACCCCAGGATCCCCCACGGCCCACCAGCCGCCCCGGGACACTCCGGGTCCTGATAGACGCGGGACAGGACGATGAACGTATTCTCCTAACTCGGCTGGTCTGCTCTGTTGTACGAACAGGGGACAGGGGACATGTAAATCACAGGACACGTGTCCAACCGCTGCTTGTGTCATTGGTCAGGCTTCCAGGCAGCAGGACACTGCGAGGAGGGAAGTTTTCAGATGCCAGAAGTTGCACGTGGGATCTCTACTGCAGGGTCTGTGCACAAGGGCCGAGGGTCACCTGGATAAGTGTGCACGTGCGTGAGTGACACACGCACCCTCACTGCCTCACTGCTTGAAGTTATACCGTCTGTGCATGATTTTTATTTCCCTTTTATTAAATTAAAAAAATTTTAAACTGAATGTACAGTTTCATTTCATTTTTTTCACCTTCTATTAAATTTTTCTTTCCGATGCCATGTTTGATGTGGAACACGAGAGGTATTCAGTGTGTTGGGAGTATCTTCCATGATTATAGCAAATTTCCCGAATGTGGCTCATCCCCGCGGTGTCCATTTTCCCTGAAATAAATGTATTTGTACGTACGTGTATTTGTTACTGTCTTATGGGTTGATGAACTTCCATAAAGCAGGCACATCCGGGTAACAGTCACCCAGACAAAGGCATAGAACATTCCAGAACCCCAGCGCCCGCCCCCCCCCCCAAGAGAACCGCACAGGGGGCTCAGCTCTGGTGGGCTGTCCCTTCCTTCCCTCCC